ACCAAACAAAACTGTCAGGCTCATAAACTAGAACCAAACAAAACTGTCAGGCTCATAAACTAGAACCAAACAAAACTGTCAGGCTCACTTTCATTAAAAAACAAAAAACGATTTAACCTTAAAGTTCCTGACCAGCATTACTCCTTAAGGGCAACTTGCTGGTCATTTAGTCCCAACAGACCTGTGTGATGACACAGACAGCCTAGACTAACATCAACCAGAGAGGTAACACACGTTTTCAGTTGGACAAGAGCAGACTTCCCGAATTTGGTTGATAGTTGAATATTTACGTGATAAATAAAATAAGTTATAAATAAATTTCTTTATCCTTACCTTACATTCACACTTGATGCAAGGACTTTTAGCAATTAGCGGAAGCACCACTTCTTCTCCTTCGTTATGACAACTGATTGGAGAACCTAAGGAAATCAAAATCAGGTTTATTTACTCAGTATGTCCGGCCAATTAGTCTAAGAAATAAGTTAGATAGCTTGTTATATGGATAAATATATAGAAAGACAGATAGATGGGTAAATAGATCAAATAAAAAAATTAAATAAAATTGCGTTGATCATATTTATCTTAAATATTCCACAATTTGCAGACATGAAGAAAAATACTATTTTACAGTGGACGTTACATTACAGGCAGTATTTTGACTGAGTAATGTTAAGACATTATAAAAAATATTTTACGTTAGGACAAAAAACATTTTTACTCTGTAAGATTACATCAGGGAAGAATTTATACTGGGCAGCGTTAAGACATCGTATGAGATATTTTACGAAAGGACATTAAAGAAGTATTTTTACTCTCAGTTTACGACATCAGGGGGAGTATTTTTACCGGATAACGTTAAGCCTCATACGAGATATTTTACGTTAAGACATTAAAGAAGTATTTTTACTCTCAGTTTACGACATCAGGGGGAGTATTTTTACCGGATAACGTTAAGCCTCATACGAGATATATTACGTTAAGACATTAAAGACATTAAAGTATTTTTGCTATCTAAGTTTAAGAAATCAGGGAAGAATTTATATTGAGTAATAACGTTATTTACGCATTATAAGAATTTTGCACTGTCTTTAAGACAATATTAACGAAATATTTTTAGTCTCTGAGTCACATGGTAAATTTACGTTTGTGTATTTGTGTGCATTTTACTATAGCAAAGCCACATCCGGCTAACTGCTGTGTCCACCGACGGGAATCGAACCCCTGATTTTAGCGTAGTAAATCCGAACACTTACCGCTGTTCAACCGGAGAACATTTGTGTCTCTAACATGTTTTTATTGTTTTGAACACTAATAGTTACGTTTTGTATATATATTATAAAGCATACAGCTATTTTTCTTATATCAGGTTTTCAATAGGAAATTAAAACTGTCTGACCATTTACAAGTTAGTATCTTACGACCCAGCTGAGGGGTGGAGGTCTAATCGCTTGCTCTTAGTGAACCAGAACGTATCACAGAAGGCCTTCTCTCTATATGAACATCTTTTTAAATGTTAATACACTAGTTAACAAATTAGTTGACATCGTAGTATTTTTTAAATATAGTATACGTGTTAATTAAATTCTTTTACTTTCTACTTGTCGTTGCTTTACAGGGGTTATTAGATCAAGGCCACCATTTCATCATGCATAACAAAAAATTGTTTTATGCAGAATTCATTGTAACTTTAGTCAATTGCATTTTCGTACCATGTCGTCAACTGAACGATAACTTAAAAAGATGCACAGTCTGAGGTGATGAGCGTTTCGTTTCTGTTAATCATTATAGAAGATTCTCAGGGAAGTTTGTTGCCATGCTTGATATAAAGAACGATAGTACGAGATCCTCAAAGAACTTCATTAACACGTTTTTGTATGAAGAACGAATGTAGAGGATCCTCAGGGAAGTTTATTAACACTCTTGTGTACTGAGAACGAAAGTACGGGATCCTCAAGGAAGTTGTTAACACGTTTGTGTATTGAGAACGAAAGTACGGGATTCTTAGGGAAGTTTGTTAACACGTTTGTGTATGAAGAACGAATGTAGAGGATCCTCAGGGAAGTTTGTTAACACGCTTGTGTATTGAGAACGAAAGTACGGTATCCTCAAGAAACTTTATTAACACGCTTTTGTATCAAGAAGAAACGTAGAGGATCCTCAGGGAAGTTTGTTACCAAGCTTGTGTATGAAGAACGATAGTACGAGATCCTCAAGGAACTTTATTAACACGCTTTTGTATCAAGAACGAACGTAGAGGATCCTCAGGGAAGTTTGTTAACACGTTTTTGTATGAAGAACGAATGTGGAGGATCCTCAGGGAAGTTTGTTACCAAGCTTGTGTATGAAAACCGATAGTACCAGATCCTCAAGAAACTTTATTAACACGCTTGTGTATGAAGAACGAACGTAGAGGAACCTCAGGGAAGTTTGTTACCCCCCGCTTGTGAATGAAGAACGAACGTAGAAGATCCTCAGGGAAGATTAACACGCTTGTGTATGAAGAACGAACGCAGAAGATCCTCAGGGAAGTTTGTCCCCCCCCCCCGCTTGTGTATTGAGAACGAAAGTACGGGATCCTCGTGGAAGTTTGTTAACACGCTTCTGTATGTAAAACGAAAGTACGGCATCCTCAGGGAAGTTTACTAACACGATTATGCATGAAGAACGAAGGTACAAGATCCTCAGGGAAGTTTGTTAACAAGGTTGTGTATAATGGACGCATGAAAAGGATCCTCAGGGAACAATGTTAACAAGTTTACGTATAAAAACTGACCGATGAATTTCTGACTATAAAATGTTGATGTTGCAGTTGATAAATGCATCGCTCCCCCCCCCCCCCACCACCACTTTCCTTTCTTTCACTGTTTTGTTTTATTTTTTATGGTTTCTTGTAACTTATCTACTCACAAAATGACTCCAGTGTTTGAGCATCAATGCTTCACTGTTAAGGGTCCATCTAGTAAAACTCGGTTTCTTGGAACTGTTGAGGTAGGTATAATTGAAGCCGTAACTATGTAAAACATTAAACAGCTGTGATGTGTGTAGTTTCAGGCACTTCCTTTTATGGTCACTAATTTGAATGGAAAATTGTTTTTATCTGTTCTGAGCGGTTATTTGCTTACAAACATCCAATCAACGAATGTCTTAGCTACAAGGAATGTTCTATACACTCAAATGCCTTTGTATAAGAAGAGATAAGTCGGAGAGACATACAGCGCTTAGATAGTTACAGGACAGATAGATATATAAATTTACAAACGGGAGATAAAGATAACTAGTTAAATACATAATATTAATGTTGTTTTTTACTCGGACAACGAGATTTTCTGTACTACAATTAACCATTTACTTTTTCCAACTTTAAACGAATTCAGTGTCTCTATTCTCGCAAATGTTCAATTGGATTAAATGCATCTTTATTAGGAATGAAAAGGAAACCCCTGATGGAGGATACCACGCTGACGTCACAAGAACGTGGTGACTCATTCTAGCTTGGTAGAGGCTTGGCGGATTAAGTTAATTTTATTTTCATGTTTTAGATTTAACCAAAAAATAAAAACCTTCTGACATAGAAACTGACAAAAATAATAACTGCAGTGACTTGATGGCGTCAGAAAAAAATGCCTAAATTTAAAACTGATTATATAAAACAAGAGAGCCACTAAGTGTCATCATGGTATACGTGTCTGAATATATATTTGACAAAATTATAAAACGTTCCACAAGCACTGAATACAGGAAACGACAAACTTAAAAATAAGACTAAATACAAGGTTCTTTGTTTAAAAGCTCTTTTGCCATGATAACGATATGAAATCGTGTTCTTGCACGAGATGGTACTCTACTGACAAAGAAGGAAAAACTATATATTTCTTGTCTTGACGCACTTGCTGTTAAGCACAAAACTACACAATAGGCTATCTGTGCTCTGCCCATCACAGATATCGAAGCTCGATTTTCAGCGTCGTAAGCCAGCAAATTTACGTCTGAGACAATGGGGGATGATATGAAGTAACAGATAACATCAGACACAAAATTAGAGAATTTTTGTTACTAACAAAATTTTTATGTGTAGAAATATATCAAATTATTTGTGTTGTTAAACATTAAGATACATGATGGACTTATTTTGGTCTGCCCACCGCGGGTATCGAAATGTGATTTTAGCATTACAAGCCCTCAGACTTACCACTGAGCCATCGGGTGGGGGGGGGGCAGAAATATATCAAATGCAATTTGAACTGTAACGAACAAATACTGGACGTATTAGAAGCAAGTACAATTAAACGTTAACTGTAATGGAACAGAAGACAAGTAAAACGTAAACTGGCATATTAATGCATGGAAAGTTACTGATGATTTTTTTGGGGGGGAGAGAGGAGAGGTTTAAATAATTGGTCTCAATTGGTCAGAAAATACTACTTATATAAATAGTACATCGTCAAAATTACATTTGATACACTCATTTCACTTGTTATGAATTATTTGGTATGGGTCATTACAAATGAAATGAAGATGTGTTTTTTTCTATTCAGTGGACGTTGAAATAGTTGGAGGTATTTAGCTAAGGCAAATATAATATATTACAATATCTGTTCACTGTCTCTTAGAGGTAATTACGTAAATAAATAAAAAAAAACGTTTGAGCTTGATTTTCATTGGCTGAATAGAATCAACGGCAACGTAAACTTATATTGGTGTTTAGTTCACGAAATGTTTTACTAAGTGAAATTTGTTTTGAATCTCGCGCAAAGCTACACGAGGGCTTTCTGCGCTAGCCGTCCCTAATTTTGCAGTGTAAGACTA